ATTTCGGGCCAGTAATAATACCGCTGCAGCTGCTGCCGTGTTTTCTCTACCCCGAAATGTCCCGAGGTAACCCCGTCGTGTGCCTCTTGTAATAGTAATTCCCGTAGCAGTGTGTACCCTGGTACCCAGATGCGGTCGGTCCCGGCTTTTACGTAATAGACTCCCTTGGCTGCTGCGAACTGCTGCGAATTTCCTCCTGTGAAGAATGGGTCCGTTTGATATCCGTGGGTAAATAGTCCTGTCAGTAGCGGGCTGGTCTGGGCGAGTAGTATCGCGTGGATCTGGGCAGTGGGGCGGGTCAGTGCGTCGGCGATGTTCGAGGCTCCTTTTTTATAGGTGACTGTGTAGTGGAAGTTGGACTCGAGGAAATCGAGCCAGCGGATCTGTCGTGGGTTGAGGTGTGGTTGTGCGCGAAGGTACTGTAGTGATTTATGGTCTGTCCGTACTGTCACGTCCGCGCCAGTCAAGTAACAACGCCATACTTTGAACGCGTGCACGATCGCAAGCATTTCGCGGTCGTGTATCGGGTAATTTTTCTCGGGCGGATGCAGTTTTCGTGACTCGTATGCGATTGTCTGTAGGCCATTGCCGAAATCCTGTAGCAGTACGGCTCCGATGGCGATATCGCTTGCGTCGGTAACTACTTCGAATGGGCGGTGTGGGTCGGCGATGCGCAGGACGGGCGGGGAACAGAGAACATTTTTCAGGGCAGAGAAGGCAGCATGATCTTTCTCCCCCCACGTAAAAGCGACCCCCTTCCGCAGTAAGTCCGTCAGTGGGGCAGTTAACCGTGCCATATCGGGGACGAACCGACGTACATAATTAACGAACCCTAAAAAGCTCTGCAGCTCCGTGATGTTCGTCGGGGGATGCCACGCTTTTACCGTATCCAGCTTCTTTGGGTCGATTTCAACTCCAGCCTCCGAAATAACGTGCCCCAAAAATTCTAACCTATTCTGGAAGAACTCGCACTTGGAACCCTTGGTCAGTAATCTGTGCTCGTCTAAAACCTTAAACACTTCTTCCAGATCTGCTAAGTGCTGCTGCTTATCCCGACTGTACACTAGGATGTCGTCGAGGTAAACGATCACACATTTATCTAAGAGCGACCTAAATGCCTCGTTCATGGTCATCTGAAAAGTCGCCGGTGCGTTGGTCAGCCCGAATGGCATCACAGTGTACTCGAACGACCCGTACCTAGTCCTGAAAGCTGTTTTGGCGCAGTCCGATGGTTCGACCCTAATCTGATGGTAACCTCCCCGTAAATCTATTTTCGAAAAAACCCGTGCTGTTCGCAGTTGGTCGATCAGTTCGTCGGCGCGGGGAATTGGGTACCGCGACTTGACTGTTACCCTGTTGAGTGCTCTGTAGTCGATACACATGCGAAAACCCCCGTCTTTTTTCGGCGTGAATAGTATCGGTGCGGCGAACGGTGACGAGCTCGGTCTGATGAATTTTTTCTCTAACAGGTAATCTAACTGCTTCCTTAGTTCGTCGAGCTCGGGCTGTGTCAGTCTGAACTGGCGCTGTACGGTTGGCTGTGCCCCCGGTTCTAATTCGATTCGGTGGTCATGTGCTCGCTGAGGTGGCAGTCCTTCCGGTAAGTTGTCGGGGAAAATCCCGGGGTATCGTTTCAACAGTTCCTGTAATTCGGGCGGTACGGCTGCCAGGAGTTTCTTGAAATCACTCGGCTGCGCTGCTTCCTCTACTACTGCGATGTCTACTGCGTACACGTCAGCTCCAGCAGCAACAGCCCGTTTCATTGTGATAGCGTTGACGTGTACCGTTGAAGACTCGGGCGACTGCCAGCGAGGTAGCTCGACCCAGTTACCACTACTTCGCACGGTGCAGCTACCCGTCGTCCAGTCAATTCGCGGGTTATATCGTCGCAGCCAATCACGTCCCAGTAAAATATCGTGCCCATCCAGTGTCGTTGCGAGCATTTCCTGTGTAAACCCGAAATTTCCCCCGTAGCGGACTTTGACTCTCTCTACCTTTTCCCGTATGGCCAGTGGCGTGCCGTCGACTAAACGTGCGTCTATCTCCGGTAAGCAACGGCTAAGTGTCAGCTGCAGTTTTCGTGCGGTTGTGGTATTAACTAAACTGTGGCTTGCTCCTCCGTCGATAAAAATCTTCACTGCTGCTCCCTGTATTTTCCCGTGGATCAGTACTGGGCAATCCGTCGTTGTACCCTCCTTATTCATCCGAGCCCGATCGATGGCGTGAATCGGTACTGTGACTCGGTGAGGGTCGGTGCGGTTGGGCGAGCAGGCAGTCTCGTCAGTAGTTGGCCCAACTTCTACTGACTGCTGGCGTTTCCCTGCCTCTGAGACTCCCTTCCCTGCTCTGCTCCGCGGCGTCTTAGCTCCTCTGGGCATTCGCTCTTGCGATGGCCCGGCCTGTTGCAAGCAAAGCAGCGCCCCTTAAACGGTGCGGCAGCTGCATTCGTTGCAACAGCGTTTACAGTGGCGTGCTCGATCGGTCCCAAAGGACGATGTCCGTAGTAGGACCCCGGTCTCGGTCGGCGTAGAATGTCGATTTTCTCGGCGAGCGCGAGAATCTCGTTGAAGTTTGAGAGTCCGCGCAGCATGATTTCGTGCGAGATATCCGGCTTCAGCCCTCCGACGTAACGGTCCACCCGCTCCGCTTCGTGCATGTAGCCGACCTGCTCGCAAAGTGCGAGAAAACCGCTCGTGTAATCTTGAACCGACCCGAGCTGCCGCCAAGTGCGCAATCTCTGACGCGCCGAAATAGAAGCCGCGATCGGCTCGAAGCGCGCCCGAAGCCCTGCGCACCACGCATCCCACGTGCTGTATTGGGCAGTCTCGCAGAATGAACTCCAGGTGACAGCTGGACCCGTGGGCCCTTCCTCTTGCGACGGTGGCTCGTAGGCGCGTGGCGACGTCACGATGACTCGCCACCAGTCCATGGCGGGGCCCCTTAGCAGCGAAACTGCATACCGAATCTTCGTTGCGTCCGACTCGACGTAATTCGCGTCGAAGAAGACGTTCATCGTGAAGACCCACGATTGAACCGTCGGACCTCCACGCTGGCTCGGGTCGAAACAGGGCGGGCGTTGCGGCTTGAGTGGCATTGGTGCCATGATGGCCTGTTCGCCACTTGTCGCCGCGAACTCCACGTGCCGACGGGCTTCGCGAGGCTCCCGCGGGCTTGGTGCGACCCTGTTTCCTCCCATGCCAGGCATCGGCTGGGCGGCGCCATCGCTGGCTGCGCCTGAGCGCTGTCCCACGCTGTTGGTTTGTGTTGGTGTGCCGGACGAGATGACGATCGGCTCGTCTGATTGTGCAGATGCATTTGTCGGTGCGTGTGGTGGCGCTGGAGTGTTCATCGTTGATTGCTGACGCGCGGAGTCACGTTCCGCCGTGAGCGTCGCAATTTCGAGCGCCGAATCTTCGAGTTGGCGCACCAGACGGTCGAGCTGCTCCTGCGTCAATGTGGCGAGCGTGAATTCGGCCATGGCGGGGGTGTCGGGCGAGCTCAGCGAGAGCCTCAGTCGTGGCCGTGCGTGCTTACGAGAGAGCACTACGAGCGGCGGTGCTGTGTCGCTGAGGGACGTCTACCCCCCCCAAAATTTGAGATAGTGGGGAAGCGAAGGTGTGGGTGCGGTCCGAGAAGAGGTCGTAGGCTCTGATACCAAGTGTTACGAGTGCAATTGAGTGAAGGAACGAGAATTGCACTATCGAAGCAAGAGTACAATGAGCGAAGGCATGAGCGAAGAATATATAGCGAAACTACAGTGGTAACGGTAATGGACTGTGGTTGTCGCGCGACGGGCCTGGAACTGAGGTTGGGAAAAGTGTCGAAGCGGAGGCCCGGAGCGCGGGTTACCCGCCGAGCCGTGAGGTCGGGGTGCGATGTGCAAAGGTGGCGGGCGGATTGTCGATGCGAGTGGTAACGGTGCTGACTGTGGTGCTACAGTGATGTACGCGTTGAGCAGGGACGCGAAGTAAGGAAAAAGAGATTTTCCTTACAGGTAGTCTATATGGGTACAACCCAATTAGGGTTAGCACTTGTACTCAGTTTGATCTCAATGCAATCATTCCTACTCGTTAGTTTCTGACACGGGGCAGCCTAAGGCAGAGAACGGGGCAGCCTAAGGCAGAGCGCGGGACAGCCCAAGGCAGAGCGCGGGACAGCCTAAGGCAGAGCGCAGGGACAGCCTAAGGCAGAGAACGGGGCAGCCTAAGGCAGAGCACTGGAGCGCGGAGCAGAGCAGGATGCTAACAAATGGGCAAGGAGCAGAACGGACGGAGCTAGGCCCTAGGAGCTACCTATTCTGATACCATCTCAGAACGTAACAGCGGAATGGGTGTGATTACGAATACAGGGTGATACAAATAGCAAACCTAACAGTATCGTACTCTCTAGGGAGTACCTCACTACAACCTAACAATGAATATAACATTTGACATTGAGACGTCTCAAAACACAAGCCCGTCAATTCTGCTTGGTAAACGAGAGCAGCTCATTGATGTCCGCCCACGAGTGCACATAAGATCCCGACTCTTCGTCCCACACTGGCTCCATCCACCCTGCCACGCCCATATTGAGGGCGCCTTACACGCCAAATCAAGTCCATCATGTCTGCTTTTTGAACGAGAGCAGCTCATTGATATCCGCCCATGAGTGCACGTAAGACTGCGACTCTTCATCCCACACCGGCTCTGATTTCCCTGCCTCGCCGAAAGGTTCCACCCGAACCTCCGCCAGGTAGGTGGCGGGTGGGGTGCGGCGGGGACGGCCGCGGAGGCGGCCCGTGGAGCGAGGCGGAGGGGTGTCGGCACGCAGAGTGATGCGCCAGAATATGTAGTCCGGGTCTGGGACCAATTGGTGATATGCGCTCTTGACCGAGACGAACCTGAGGTTCGTTTTCTGGTGGGCTGGGGTGGGGTAGAGAGGGGTGGGGTGGGGTGAGAAAGGAAGGGAAGCGCTTGAGGCTTGTTGCAGGCTATTGTGACAAGGTGAGCCGAGCACCTGTCTCAGGCGGGCCAAAGAGCGAGGCGAGGCGGGGGGATGTCGGCACTCAGAGTGATGCGGCAGAAGATGTAGCCCGGGCCGGCAACCAATTGGTAAAACACATTCTTGACCGAGACAAACCTGAGGTTCATTTTTTGGCGGGGTGGGGTGGGGGGTTGAGGAGGGGAGGGGAGGGGAGAGGAGGGAAATACGTAAGGCCTACATTCGATAAAAATAAAAGTTCGCTAAACTAGCCAGGACGGGACGGTGTATTAAGTCATGTTCTGGTGCTGTGGATTGAGGGGTGAGGACCGGAGGGAGAGCACTTGGGGTTGGGGCGGGCCACTGGCGCTGTAACGAGGCAGAGTCTGATCAAGAGGGTCTTGGGCTCGTGGTGGGGAGGAGGCGGGGAGGAGATGGGAGGAGGAAGAGAGAGAACTTAAAGGCACGTGAACAGAACATGGTATAATTTCAGGCGCCTCAGAATTAGAAGACCACTGTTGAAGAGGGCCTTGAGCTCGCGGTGATGAGGTGATGAGGAGGAAAGGACTTAGAGACACATCAACAGAAAGTGGTACTGAGGCTTCTGGTTGTGAAACATTTGTTTGGGGCAGTAAGACGGATTTGTTGGCACCTACAAAATCAATGGCACGTTCTCTATGTACCTCTTTCTTGGTATGCAATGATGACGAGAAAGCACTGATGACGAGAGAAGCAGTTCGTTAACGTACCGCTTTCTTGTTTTGCTCGCCGATGGCGAATTTCGCCAACTCCAGCGCGTCGCTATCCATCGCCGCGTTCTCCACGGCGGTCTAGTCGCTGCCAGGAGTAGGCTCTCAGGATCGTAAGCACCTTAGTCGGCAATAGTCTACTTGCTATCGCCTATCGTGTTCTCCACGATCTCCCGAATCCAATGATATGCGCAGCTCTGCTTGAAGTTGTCAATACACACTTCAACAATTTTCAGAATCTGATTGGTATCAATGTTGTATTTCCAGAATGAGTACAAACAGGTTTATAGTCAAGCAAGACACAAAATGCGATTCGTAACTTCACTTGTTTCCCAAGTAACCGCGTGCGCCTCGTTTCACCCCTAGTCGCACACGCAACCGAACCGAATTCGGTGAACACTCCGCAAGTCCGAATCCCGAACTTTCTCGAACGCGCCTTGGTCTCGAAGCACATTTTTCCCCTCGTCAATCTCATCCTCGATGCTTCTCCTTCTCTCTCCCTCCTTCTAGCACATTTCTTCTCGATTTCTCTCCCGCTTCTCACGCCGTAGCCTCTATTCCCCACCGTAGGCCGATTTCCACCGTTTCACACACGCGCTTCCATTTCGCCGTCATTCCGCCGTCGTAGATGCTTTCGCCTTAGGTTCCGTGGTTGGGCGAACCAACCCTAACAATCTCCCCTGTGGTTCGTCAACCACGAACACCACTCGCACTGCTCCCCTGCTCCTTGTAGCCTTCACAGGGTCTAAGTCGGCTTCACGCTCCCCTGCAGCTCCTGCACCTTGAACCTCTGCTTATGTGTCTTGTAGTTGAGCGCCTTGACATCCAAACCTTGAGAGATTTTCTTATGCCTCTCGCTTCTCCTCGGCATCTTTACACCCAACACCTCTCGGGTCTCGTACCCTTCAACGCGTTCATCCTCCTTAAGCACTTGCCCCTTTGCAGTTGCATTCGCCTTTGATCCTTTCACCATGATGTCCCCTTTCACAGCTTCAACCACGATCGCTGCTGCAAAAGTGTTGACATCGTCTCCATCTCCACCGTTTACTGCTGCTGCATCCGTGATCACTATCTCCTCTTCCTGCTTCACTGCTGCCTCCACACTCGCAGCCATATCATCCGAGTCCTCACTCTCATCAACCTTAGTCAATAACTCCTCCAGTTCTCCCATCTCACCATACTCAGGATCCTCATAGATCTCATCCATATCATTCGTCGCGACCAAGTTCATCTCATAGAACCCGTCACTGAAGTAACCATCAGCATACTTCTCCCACTCAGGACCAAACACAGTCACCTCACCACTGTCATAGAATATCTTGCACCCCAAGTCATCAAGCTGTGACTGACTGACCAAGTTCACCTTCAAATCCGCAACCAGCAACACACTCTCCAGTTTCACTACTCCATACGGACTCCGCAGCACCACATCACCCTCTCCTGTCACTGGTAACTTTCCACTGTTACCTTGCAGTATATAATCCTCACTCGACTCCCTCACATTCTCCATCCAATCTGACCTGAATGTCATGTGACGCGTGCATCCGCTGTCCATGAACCATGTCGTCTTCTCACATCCGTCCGTCTGCCGAACCTCCATTGGTAAACGCACCACGTTCGCAAGATGTGCTCCCCCCAAAATCGGATCCTCTTCTTCCTTCTCCGCTTCCGCCACGTTAGCCTTGGCCTCCACATTCTGCTGCTGCTCCTGCTTCAACGGTCCTTTGTAGTTACGGCCGTTGGGATTCAAGTAGCAATCAATTGCACGATGCCCAATTTTCTTGCAGTGATGGCACGCACCATTGAACCTTCCGTGTTGCTGTCCACCACTCCATCCCGCACCGTTCCCTTTGTAGTTTCTACTCCTCGGGTTCTCCACACACTCAAACGCACGATGCCCGAGTTGTCCACACTGGTAGCACGCTCCCGAGCTCCTTCCAGCAGCTGCCGCATTCACCAACGCAGGCTTCTCCTCCACAAAGCCCCTTGTAAACTTCTCCCGTCGCTTCTGATGCTCTCTTGCTCGCTCCAACGCCTGAAGCATGGCAATAAGCTTCGTCATATTCTCCGGTGGGTGGCAGATCAACGCCGGCCGCTCACCCGCCCAATCTTCCGGTAGACCGTTGACGATGTGCCCGATCATCGCCCGCTCGGTTTCCGGCTCGCCCATCGCAGTTAAGTCATCATTGTAGCTCCTCGCCATGTTGACGTAGTCAATAATCTTCTGGTTCGGCTCCATGGTCATCAGCAGCAACTTCTTCCTCACATCGGCGATATTCGCGTCCATGTGCCCGAGGTATGTAGACTCCATGTACGCCCATGCCGCTTGTGCAGAGTTCTCAAGCTCTGCAAAACCATCAAGACACACTGCAATTCCGTCTGCAACGGAACGACATAACTGAAAAAACGCATGCTTACTCCTCTTCTTGTATTCCGCCTTTTCTTCATCCGATCTCGCCTTACGCGCGGCTGCGTCACCTTCTCCATCCAGTCGGTAGTACTCCCAAAAACCGACTTCCTTCGCCCTCCTTATGAACTTCAATCTCCACGTGCTGTAGTGTTGGCCGTGGAATCGTTGGGCTTCACTGAGCCCCATGGTGGGCTTTGTCACCACCCCTCCTTGCGCTAGCATTTCCAGAAGTGCCTTCACTTGGGGATCTCCAATACTCACAGAGGAGCCCGAACTAGCTTCCGATTGTCCGCCGACCATCTCGAAAGCTTCGCTCTGCACTTAAGAATGCTTAAACGCCACTTAAACCAGCTCTGATACCAGTTCTCAGGATCGTAAGCACCTTAGTCGGCAATAGTCTACTTGCTATCGCCTATCGTGTTCTCCACGATCTCCCGAATCCAATGATATGCGCAGCTCTGCTTGAAGTTGTCAATACACACTTCAGCAATTTTCAGAATCTGATTGGTATCAATGTTGTATTTCCAGAATGAGTACAAACAGGTTTATAGTCAAGCAAGACACAAAATGTGATTCGTAACTTCACTTGTTTCCCAAGTAACCGCGTGCGCCTCGTTTCACCCCTAGTCGCACACGCAACCGAACCGAATTCGGTGAACACTCCGCAAGTCCGAATCCCGAACTTTCTCGAACGCGCCTTGGTCTCGAAGCACATTTTTCCCCTCGTCAATCTCATTCTCGATGCTTCTCCTTCTCTCTCCCTCCTTCTAGCACATTTCTTCTCGATTTCTCTCCCGCTTCTCACGCCGTAGCCTCTATTCCCCACCGTAGGCCGATTTCCACCGTTTCACACACGCGCTTCTATTTCGCCGTCATTCCGCCGTCGTAGATGCTTTCGCCTTAGGTTCCGTGGTTGGGCGAACCAACCCTAACATAGGCAGAGTTTGCGCAGCAGCGCATGGAATCGCGGAGAGGAGAGAAGCGAGGACGACGCAGATAGTAGCTGCAACGGCAAGCACAGGGTGCTTTAAGTTTACTAGATCGTGATCGATGATGCGCTGACCCATGATTGGTCGTTGGTCAGGGATACCAGGGTAGAAAGAGCGGTAAGATCGATTTGGAATCAGGAGGTTATCGGAAAAGCAGATTACTCCCGTGCTATGGTAAGGTTACACTGCATAATATCTGCTATGGGTTGACTCACCCCAGCCGTTAGTTCTCCGTCATTTATACTGCATAATATCTACCACCATACCGCTTGACTGTGAGCGGATTTATTGGCTGGGTCACGGGCGTTGCGTGGGAAATAGGGGAAGCCCTGTCTCGCATGAGCCATAGTTCTGGTTTGACTTGAGAACGCGCGAAACGAGTATTGCTTAGATTATGCGCGCAAATACCGGCTCGCCAGCATAAGAAAACACCTTCGGGGAGCGAGATTGCGAACGCGCAAGACGGTGTGATAACTCGCTGTCGCAAATGCGCTTTCCAATTTCCGATTTCAAAAACTTACCGTTGACATCTCAGTTGCCAATGCCTTCCTCCTGCTTCTCAACATGGCAAAACCGGCATTGCAATAGTTAAAGCCCGAGTCCCAAATTGCGAGGCGCGTGGGTCATGCTTTTAAAACTTGACGAAGTGCAGTGTGCAAGCTTTGAAAAGTAGCGCACCTGCAATTTGGGACTTTCAGGTGCTGACACAACCGCCAGGGCGAAATACGTGGGCTGGCTGGGTTTGGCGAAAAAAACGAAATGCCCGAAATCGAAATCACTCGCCAAAACCCAACCCAGAAAAAACCCCTCGCGTCATCCTTTTAAAACTTGTGCAATTTGGGCTTCCGGCTTTAAAACCCGCAGCCTGAATTACAAGAAAAGTTGGGAGGTGTTAACACCTCACCTTCCGGACCAACACCAGGCCTCCCGAACCAGGGTGGTTACCAGGTCTCCACCTGCAAAACGTGAAAGAAGTCGCAGGCAGCACAGTGAAGGGTCGCTCGGTTCCCGCGCAACCACTCTAGCTGTGGTGTGCACACCAAACTGTGTCTTGTAATTCAGGTCGACAGAAAATGCCTAGTCTGAGCAGCTAGAGCGACAGCCATAGCTTAGAATTTCCAGGCTTCCAAGCAAATCCAGCGCATGTCTGAAAATTCCGCCATAGGGCTTTAGGACCGTGCGGATATTCTTGCAATCCGTCGCTTATGCCAAACGCGGGCCTAGTTCACGTTACCACGTTTCCCTACGGTGTTCTAGCTAAAGCAGTCGCGGATGATGACTCCATCCCGTCGCCCACGGGCACTCCCCGAGAACGAGCACGCACACTCGGTCCCGTCACCCTCGCGCACTCCATTCCGCTGCCCACGCTCAAGACCTTCCCGTCGCCCACGCTCACTCCCTTTCCATCGCGATCGCGCAATCGTACCGTCGCCCACGATCAGTCACTTCCGTCGCCCACGCTCACTCCATCCAGTTGCCCACGCTCACTCCCATTCCATCGCCAACGCGCAATCCTTCGATCGCACACGCGAACCCTCGCGCGTCGCACACGGCCTGTTCCCTCCTGTCGCAAACCGCCTCACCCATCGCCGCCTCACCCATCTCCGCCTCACCCATCGCCGCCTCACCCATCTCCGCCTCACCCATCGCCGCCTCACCCATCTCCCTTTCACGCATCGCCGCCTCACCCATCTCCGCCTCACCCATCTCCTCTCCCCCCCCATCGCGACAACTCCCCTTCCGCCGCCCACGCTCTCTCCCTCCCGCCGCGTTTCCGCACTACCCTCCTGTCGTGACGGTCCGCTCCGTCGCACACGCTCAATCCCCACCAGGGGAGACCATTACTTGCCCCCCTCGCTCGGCCACGCGAGACCCCTCCGTCGCACACGCTCATTCCCTTAATCGCCCACGTTCACTCCCCTCCGTCGCCCACACTCACTCTCTCCCGTCACCCACGCTCACTCCGACGGGAAGCACGCTCATTCCCCTCCCGTCGCCTTCGCTCACTCCCCTTCCCCCGCCCACGCTCGCTCCCTCCCGTCGCGTTCGGCCCCATCCGTCGCCCACGCTCATCTCCCTGCCGTCACACACGCACGCACCCTCCCCTCGACCGAGAAGGCATTCCTCGCTCCCGTCGCATACGCGTTCATCTCCCCATCCCTCATCTCCCCGTCCCTCATCTCCCCATCCCTCATCTCCCCGTCCCTCATCTCCCCATCCCTCATCTCCCCGTCCCTCATCTCCCCATCACTAATCTCCCCATCCCTCGTCTCCCCATCCCTCGTCTCCCCATCCCTCTCCTCCCCATCCCTCATATCTAATACCTCACCTCCCCATCCCCGCCTCCCACTCCCTTCCCTCCCCATCCCACACCTCCCCATCCCCGCCTCCCACTCCCTTCCCTCCCCATCCCACACCTCCCCATCCCCGCCTCCCACTCCCTTCCCTCCCCATCCCACACCTCCCCATCCCCGCCTCCCACTCCCTTCCCTCCCCATCCCACACCTCCCCATCCCCGCCTCCCACTCCCTTCCCTCCCCATCCCACAACTCCCAGTCTCTCATCTTACCGTCGCTCATCTCCCCATCCCTCATCCTCCCATCCCTCATCTCCCCATCCCTCGTCTCCCCATCCCTCATCTCCCCATCCCTCATCTCCCCGTCCCTCCCGTCCCTTTCCACTCGCCCCGCCACTCCCGCCGTGCTTCTCCCTCACCCCATTCTGCCTCGCCCCATTCCGCTCCACCCCATTCCGCTCCACCCCATTCCTCTCCCTATCCGTCCTCTCCCTATCCGTCCTCTCCCTATCCGTCCTCTCCCTATCCATCCTCTCCCTATCCATCCTCTCCCTATCCATCCTCTCCCCATCCATCCTCTCCCTATCCATCCTCTCCCCATCCGTCCTCTCCCCATCTGATCGTCTCCCCATCCGTCCTTCCCCCATCCGATCCTCTCCCCCTCCCCTCCAGGTGTTTCCCACACTGTCCTCGGCCTTGCGTCCACCGGGGAGCTGCTAGGGGCGCTGTGGGCGGATGGCGGCGGGCCATCTCCTCCTCACCCCATCTCCTCCTCACCCCATCTCCTCCTCACCCCATCTCCTCCTCACCCCATCTCCTCCTCACCCCATCTCCTCCTCACCCCATCTCCTCCACACCCCATCTCCGCCCCACCCCACTCCCCATTCCACCAACTCCGCCCCACCCCATCTCCTCCACACCCCATCCTTCCTCCCTTCCTCCCTTTCTCTATTTTCCCATTCCTCCCTTCATCATTTCTCAGTTGTCATTCTTTTGCATGCTTGCTTCCCTTCTACTTCTGCCACGTCACATCTGACTTCCTGGTTTGTGTTTGCAGGTGTCTTCTCTGCATCTGGTTGGGATGTGTTGGCTGCTTGATATCTCACGACGTATAGACATGCCATGTATTGGATAGTTTCGTATGATACGGCATTATGAGCTTCAGAGCAGTCATACACATGACCACTAACTAGGGGTCCAACAAATAATATACTAGTACTATTTGTACCGTACAAGGGGAATCACTCAATTTTATAAAAGAACAAATCTGGTGCTGGGCACCTGTACCCTGCATTGGGGGAGGGGGGGGTGAGTGAAGGGGAAAAGACAGTAAAAGGAGTGAGCAGAAGGGAAGAGAAGAAGCAGCGGGGGACAGAGTGAGAAGGGGGGAAGAGAGGAAGCAGTGGGAAACAGAGTGAGCAGAAGTGAAGAGAGGGAGCAAGGGGGAAGAGAGTGAGAAGAGAAGGGGGTTGGGGAGCAGTGGTGAAACAGAGCGAGAAAGGGTGAAACAGAGTGAGCAAGGGTGAAACAGAGTGAGCAAGGGTGAAACAGAGCGAGCAAACCTTAACAAAGACGAGGTTGACGGGAGGGGGAAAGAGAGGTCGACAGCAGGGAAGGGGTTGGGGGGAAGCAGGGAAGGGGATGGGGGGAAGCAGGGAAGGGGATGGGGGGAAGCAGGGAAGGGGTTGGGGGGATGCAGGGAAGGGGATGGGGGGAAGCAGGGAAGGGGATGGGGGGAAGCAGGGAAGGGGATGGGGGGAAACAGGGAAGGGGATGGGGGGAAGCAGGGAAGGGGATGGGGGGAAGCAGGGAAGGGGATGGGGGGAAGCAGGGAAGGGGATGGGGGGAAGCAGGGAGGGGGATGGGGGGAAACAGGGAAGGGGATGGGGGGAAGCAGGGAAGGGGATGGGGGAAACAGGGAAGGGGTTGGGGGGATGCAGGGAAGGGGATGGGGGGGAGCAGGGAAGGGGTTGGGGGGAAGCAGGGAAGGGGATGGGGGGAAGCAGGGAAGGGGATGGGGGGAAGCAGGGAAGGGGATGGGGGGAAACAGGGAAGGGGATGGGGGGAAGCAGGGAAGGGGATGGGGGGAAGCAGGGAAGGGGATGGGGGGAAGCAGGGAAGGGGATGGGGGGAAGCAGGGAAGGGGATGGGGGGAACAGGGAAGGGGATGGGGGGAAGCAGGGAAGGGGATGGGGGGAAACAGGGAAGGGGATGGGGGGAAGCAGGGAACGGGATGGGGGGAAGCAGGGAAGGGGATGGGGGGAAGCAGGGAAGGGGTTGGGGGAAAGCAGGGAAGGGGATGGGGGGAGGCAGGGGAGGGGACGGGGGGAAGCAGGAAAGGGGATGGGGGAAAGCAGGGACGGGGATGGGGGGAGGCAGGGGAGTGGACGGGGGGGAGCAGGGAAAGAGATGGGGGGAAGCAAGTCAGAGAATGGGGGGAAGCAGCGCAGGGGATACGGCGAAACAGGGAAGAAGATGGGGGGAAGCATTGCAGGGGATACGGGGAAACAGGGAAGAGGACGTGGGGAGCGGGAGAGATGCCGGGGAGAGAGCTGGGGGGAGGACGGTGGGGAGCAGGGCAATTGATGGGGGGAAGAGGGAGAGAGGTAAGCAGTGTGGGGGTGAAAGGCGATTATTGGGGAGAGGGAAGGGTGTATGTGCGGGTTGGAAAGGGGGGGTGACAAGTGTGCGAGATGAGAAGGGAGAAGGGAGGGATGGCGAGGGCAACGAGGAGTGGATGGGAGGGCGGCGGGGAAACCGAGGGCGACGGGGGAGATAGATAGACGGGGATTGCGAGGGGACTCGCGGGAGGGAGGGCGACGAGCGGCAGGGAGGGCGACGAGACGAAGGGGGGCAACGGGCGGAAGGGAGCGCGACGAGGGGAAGGAAGGGCGGAGGGCGGAAGGGAAGGCAACGGGAGGACGGGAGGGCGACGAGAAGAAGGGAGGGCGACGGGCGGAAGGGAGCGCGACGAGGGGAAGGATGGACGGCGGGCGGAAGGGCGGGTGACGGGCAGATGCGAGGGCGACGGGCGGAAGCGAGGGCGGCGGGCGGGGAAGCGGCGAGGGGGACGGGCTTCCGCGAGGGTGGTAGGCGGGGAAAGCGAGAGCGACTGGCGGGGGAAGCGAGAGCGATGGGCGAGGGAAGCGAGGTCGACGGTCGGCTAGGCGGCGAGGGCGTCGGGCGATGGGCGAGGGTCGCGAGGTGGGCAAAGCGCTAATTTCTCATCTCCTCACGCCTATTCTCCGTGCTTCGATTGCGTGGCCACGCTGCACCTAGGGATTCCGGTTGTCTGAAATGTGTTCGCTATAACACCCTAATGTAAGAATCTTCGCGCAATGTAGCTACTGAATTTGTGTGCTGCCGCTTGGAGGAAACTAAGATTCGATCATTTCGTGTCTAAGTTAGTAGCTAGTAATGGTGTGCTGGTTTTTTGTCGACAGAAGTCCTGAAGGTGACATCACTTCCCCATTGTATTGGTTTCTGTCGCCCAGATTCAATGTTGCGACACTTGTGTGTTCGCAAATTGGTTTCGCCACCCGAAAGTGTCACCCACCCGTCCGCACCTCTCCCCAACCTCTTCCCAAACCAATCGTTGACTCGTTTTTGTAATTCAGGCTGCGGGTTTTAAAGTCTTTTACTTCCTCACTCCCACTTTCGGCCAATTCTGTTTTACCGATTCTGAAAAATAAGCGTCGCGTTTAGATTTGCAATCAACACCTGCAGCTGCTATGGTTTAGTGAAACTGACGTAAGCATTAGCTTTGAACCTTCATATTAAGCTGCTTTATGGCCTAACAGGATTAGTTTCAATGACTGGCCAATCACAACGCATAATTGAGGTTTAAAAAAAATAAAAAAAAAATCGATTAACACATCGATCCAACCTAACGCTTAATTAAAGAAAAATAAATATAACATGGTGTGGGTCTTCTTTATTTAGCACTAAATTTCTTCAAACCATGGCGGCGACGCCTTGCGACTTGGGCGTCTCCACCTTGAGCTCGTACTTCTGGCCGCGCACGACGGCGTACATCTTGTCGGGCGCGATGTAGTCGCAGGTGCGCTCGATGCGGAAGGGCTGGCCGGGAATCTGGTCGCCCGAGTGGATCTGCACGCCCGTGATCACGGCGTAGTCCGCCGTGGCGGGGTTCACCGTGAGCGAGATGAGCTTCTCCAAGTCCTCGTTGATCGCCGCCAGCGCCGCGCGCGTCACGTCCACCAGCGACTGGTTGCCGCCCGGTGACACCTGCGAGGCGAGAAGAGGAGGCGGGATCAAATGTGGGAGGTTATAGTTACAAGTCTTTATGGCTAACCATTAGCTCTTCATATTTATTTCTTGTGTTAGTGACCCTGAAACAAGCCAATCTTTTATTTACGGACGTGTTCGTACCTTAGTCATGATCTTCTTGCGCAGCAGCGTGTACTCGGGGTCGTCGCTATCCATGCTGGGCGCCACGCCGTTGTTGATGTCGTTGTTGATGGCGATCAACGCTCCGCACGCGCTCGACGCCTTGCCGCGACCGCGACGCAGCAGCGACCCCACCTCGCCCGACTCGCCGATGGACACGTGCGGGAACGCAAAGAAGATGTCTGCAGGAAGGAAACACAGACAGAAGTAAAATAGAGGGTTAATCAGTGAAAGGGCACAGCTCAGCTGGGTATGCGATCGGGTACAATGACAGGAGAAGTGGGGAGCAATATGAGGAAACGCGACTGGAAGGCTCGTAGTGGCAAACAGGAAAATCAGCACTATGTATGTATTGAGAGCCCAAACGTACATCGCTCCTTGAGGTTGCCGTCGACGTCGCAGGGGAACTCGGGCGAGTGGCTCATGGCGGCTCCGAAGCCGACCTTGCCGCAGTTGACGAGCCCGCCCAGCCCCGAGATGTTGAAGCTCAGCCCGAACTCGCGGTCGATGATGCTCACCACGGGCCGGCACACCTCGTCGCGGCACGTGTTCACCAGCGCAATGCCGTTGTCCTTGCGGAACCCCAGCTTCGCCAGCTCCACCGCCACGGCCTTCAGGAACGCCTCCTCCTGCATCGCCGACGGGAACGTCGTCGCCATCGTCGACAGCGCCGACGCCGCCGCGTGCTTCGCGCGGGGCACGATGCCGCTGGGCGGCACGCTGGTGACCGCAGGAGAGGAGGGGGCGGGTGCGGCGGGAGCGGCGGCGGGAGACGCGGTGAGCTTCTTCACGGCGACGTAGGTCGCGGCGCCCAGAGCGCCGGCGCCGACGATGGCGGGGAGGAGGGCGGTGGCGGCAGGAGCGGCGGGAGCGGCGGTGGACTGGGAGACGCTCGCGAACTGGTTGTCGCCGCTGGCCATGGCGACGACGCCTGTGAGACGGTTACCGCATTTCGCGCACGTCATGCAGGTGCATGTTTGAGCAGAGGCGGAAAGGGCCTTCTGGGCCTTGAGGCCGGAAAACCCAGGGATTGCCGTCCGGGAGGAAGAGGAGAATGTGCTTCCCTCTGGGATAGAGAGGGAGCGAAGGGTGGCGGATGCCGAGGAGGAAAGAGTCGCAGCCATTGTGTGAGAGCGTCGTGACGAGATGGCGCCTTAAAAACGGGGGAGTATGTACAAAGGCGGTTGGGTCAGCGACGTTGACAGTAAATGCAACGTGTGAAGAAATGAATTAATGTTGGTTTGTGAGGATTGTCGGAGGGGTATTTTCTGCTGTCAAGGAAATGCGTGTCGCAACACAGTCCTGAGAAGTCGAGGTAGGAGGCACTCACGAAAATTGAGATAGGTTCCTAATTTCGTCTAGGAATCTGGCATTGGCAGATTGATCAATGTTTGAGTGAAATTCCGACGAAGTTATGTGCAATTCCAGCTTTGAGCTTGCCCATGAGTGGTTTAGTGAGTTCGAGCTGGCTGGCTTTCATTGGGAATCCAGCTCGGAGGCTTTGCCACGTAGGTTAGGGGTCAAAAGTAGTGGCTCCAAACAAAACTGGTTTAGGGTGCGACTTGTGACATTTCCCCATCCTAATTTCCCGCGTTTCAGGGTGGTGTGGAGATTGGAGTCGTGCCCTGTCAACGGAGAGGAATTGGCTCGAATGAACCACACACACTGGGACATATTCCTCGTCGGGTGTTTGAGGTGGCTGGGGGGTGGAAAATGTTCGCAATATAGAGAAACTCCTCGCCTCGCATCTCTGTCTGTGCTATGAGAAATTCCAGAAATGTCTGCCATTGTATGGGCTACTTGTGCATCTCGCAAGCACAACTATAATTATTCCTAGAGTTACACCGCAACACCCTTGCATGGACCATGTAGAAAGGAAAATTGGTACACAGAACACACAGCATTGGTTGTGTGGATCTGTGCGATGTCAGCAACTGTCTACGGACACAGACATAAATGGCTGTTCAGTGTTTCGCATTCGCTAGCAGATGACATTGAAAGAGATGCTGAGATTGAGTTAGCATCTACTCAAACAAGAGTCACTTCGCGTATTCTGTCTTCACGTCCTTGGATATTCTTTCACTATTCACGATTCACAAGCACAAGCTGAGGTCAATCTTCTTGCCTGTTAGATGCGATGCGAGCGCTGCGCACAAAGAGTAGAAGGGCAAGCACAGACAGGGACAAGCATGCAGCGGCAGGGGTATAAGGAGTACGAGGCAAGCACGAATAGGGACATGCATGCAGCGGGAAGGGCATGAGGAGTACGAGGCAAGCACAGACAGGGACATGCATGCAGCGTTAAGAGCAGGAGTATGAGGCAGGCACAGACAGGGACATGCATGCAGCGGCAGGGGTATAAGGAGTATGAGGCAAGCACGAATAGGGACATGCATGCAGCGTTAGAGCATGAGGAGTACGAGGCAAGCACAGACAGGGACATGCATGCAGCTAAGAGCTTAAGGAGCATAAGGCAAGCACAGACAGGGACCAGCAGCAATATCTACTTCATGCTCTGATTGATAGCAAAGGATTTCTTTTTGTTCTTTCATGCCCCTCAGGAAGGAAGGGCTCCAGCAGCAATACCCCTGCAAGATAGCAATACCCCTGCAAGATAGCAATACCCCTGCAAGATAGCAATACCCCTGCAAGATAGCAATACCCCTGCAAGATAGCAATACCCCTGCAAGATAGCAATACCCCTGCAAGATAGCAATACCCCTGCAAGATAGCAATACCCCTGCAAGATAGCAATACCCCTGCAAGATAGCAATACCCAATCGATGCACTGCGGATTCACGTTGTTTATCCCATGGTTGCAATCTGTACAAATGTGGGAGAGCCCGTCAGCAGATAAGTGCGCCATGTGGCGTTGCATGATTGGGACTCATTCAACATGCCAGTACATACCTTGGCTGTAGTCTGTACAATCGTTGGAGAACATTGTCAGCAGATAAGTGTGCCATGTGGCATTCCACAATTGGCGTCATTTCACAAACGTACCCTGGCTGTAGTCTTTACAATCGTTAGGAAACACCATCAGCAAATTAGTGTGCAACGTGGCATTCCTTGAGTGGGTGTCATTTTACGTACGTACCTTGGCTGTAGTCCGTACAATGGTTGGAGAACATTGTCAGCAGATAAGTGTGCCACGTGGCATTCCTCAACTGGGCATCATTTCACATGCATACCTTGGCTGTAGTCTCTGCAATCGTTGGAGATCACCGTCAGTTCGGTGCGCCATGTGGCGTTGAATGATTGGACAGCATCTAGGGTGTCAGAGTGAGCAGACGAGCCGAGGCACCAGCAGCGGCGGGAAGGGATGGAGGAGAGCGGGCGTATTAGCAGGTAGCCTGGAAATGGCGGGACAGTGGGATGGTAAGAGGGAGGGAAGCAGAGCAATGGGGCAATCTGACCTAGTCAACAGACGAGCCAACACACCAGCAGCGGCGGGAGGGGAGGGAGGAGAGCGGACGAATGAGCAAATAGCCTGGAAATGGAGGGACAGTGGGATGGTGAGAGGGAGGGAAGCGTAGTAAGGGGACAATCTGACGTAGGAAGCAGACGAGCCTATGCACCAGCAAATAGCCTGGAGATGGAGGGAGAGTATGAGCAGATAGCCTGGAAATAGAGGGAGAGTAGGATGGCAAGAGGGAGGGAAGCAGAGTAAGGGGCCAACCAGACGTGGTGAGCAGATGAGCCAATTCACCAGAAGCGGCGGGAGGGGAGGGAGGATAGCGGGCGAATGAGCACATAGCCTGGAGGCATTCGGATGGTGAGCAGGAAGGAAGAGGAGGAAAAGAATGTTTCCTTCTTTTTTTCCCCAATGAGCAGCCGTGCTGATTTTGAGACGTCTCAAAACGCATTCAGCAGGCATGCTGAGGCACCAGCGGCTGCGGGAAGGCTGCGGGACAACAATCGAATGGGCCCGTATCCTCAGTGACGTTAGAAGGAAGGCTTTTGAGCGCCTCAAAAGTCGGCTTTTTGAGGCGCCTCGGAAGCGGGACAGCAATCGAATGGGCCCGTGGCCTGAGGGACGGGACGTTAGATGGAGGGCGGGAAGTTAGGGCGCAGAGTGTTTTTGAGAATTCTCAAAAACACTCTGTAAGCGCAGGAATGAGTATACCGCCTGAAGGCACGTGAAAGAGGATGCTGCTGCCACCCAGCCACCCACCTGCTACAGGAGCAGTGCAGGAAACATTGGGAACCCATGGCAGGCCATGGCATGCAGGCAAGTTTTGAGGCGCCTCAAAAGAAACATAGGGAACCCATGGCAGGCCATGGCATGCAGGCAAGTTTTGAGGCGCCTCAAAAGAAACATAGGGAGCCCATGGCAGGCCATGGCATGCAGGCAAGGCTTGGAACAAGGCAAGACATGTGACAGATGCAGATTCTACCCACCCACTCACCCACCCACCGATCCACCCACCAGGCATGGGCTGCAGCGCCAGCACTCTGAGAGCCACCCGCATGTTCTGTGGGCATGGACATGTGACAAGATATGTGACAAGGCATGTGACAATTGCAGCTCCCACCCACCCACCCACTCACCCACCCACCCACCAGGCACAGGCTGCAGCGCCAGCACTTTAAGAGCCACCCGCATGTTCTGTGGGTTATCCGGCCTGAAGTCAAACAGGTAGCACTGGGTGAGGGGGGGAGGTGGGGGAGGAGGAAGGGGGAGCGGTGGGCGGGAACAACTGAGGGCCTTGATCTCCTTTGGGCCATCCGAGAGCCACTCACATGTTCTGTGGGTTATCCGGCCTGAAGTCAAAGAGATAGCGCTGGGGGGAGGGGAAGGAGGGGGGAAGAAAACGGGAGAAAGGTGGGCAAGAACAAGTCAAGGCCTTGACCCCCTTTGGGCCATCCGAGAGCCACTCACATGTTCTGTGGATTATCCGGCCTGAAGTCAAAGAGGTAGCGCTGGGGGAGCGGGAGGAGGTGGGAAAGGGGGGAAAGGTGGGCGGGAACAACCCTAAGCCCTAAACCCTACTCAACTCCCTTCGGGTAATCCGAGAGCCACCCGCATGTTCTGTGGGTTATCCGGCGTGAATTCAAACAGGTAGCACTGGAGCGGGGAGAGCATGGGCGGGGAGAGCAGGGAGGGGGAGGGGGGAAGTGAGAGGAGGGGAGAACGTGAGTAGAACAAAGCAGGCTAAGCAACAGCCCAACTCTTATGCTCTGCGGGTCGCCAGGCCTAAAGTAAAAAAGGTAGCCTAAACTCAGAAGGAGAGGGGGAGAAGGAGAGGGGGAGAAGGAGGGGGAGGAAGGAAGAGAGTGTGTGGAAATCAACGGGCCTAGTGGCATCCCAACGTCTGGAAATGAGGCATCTTTTGAAACTACCGAGTTTTCCGTTCAAAGCCTCACCTCTCCATTTTCTCTCGCTACAATCACCACCCAGTGACTGCACAGCTGAGGAAACAGCCGTCCTGCCACGTCAGCAGCCCATTGCGGTGGTCCTGCCGGCGCGTCCAGCGGAATCGACGCCACAAAGACGCGATCCGGCTGCTGTGTTGAATGCGTTGACTGCGTTGACCCCGTTGACTCGCATAATCGCTGCAGGTCTTCGGGCCGAAGATCCCGAAAATCCTCATACTCATCATCAGGTGAATTTTCAGGCGATTCGTCTGCTGGTTTCACCTGTACAGAACTACGTCGAGAGGAAATTGACCTGTAAAACGCTGGAAAAGACGACGCGTCAATCGCTAAGCGGTTAGCGGTAGTTAGGTAATTTGTGGACCGTCGGAATGACTGAGAGCCGATAGCGGTGTTATGTACAGCGGAAGGATCGCCATTAAGAACGCAATTTGCGAACTGCGAGTGGCTCGATATGCGCGGAGCCGCTGGATTTGTTCTCTTGAAACGAGATTGGGGATTGAAGGAAATCGGACGCGAGACGGACGAGAGAATTACTAGATTGTGGAATGTGCTTATAACAGGGTCATTGCTAGCCTGAAAGCTAGTAACAAACTGCCTTCCTTGCCAGCCGTTCACGGCAATCGAAATGTGGGTGTTTGCGGAGCTGCGGTGAGGGAGAAAGGCGGGCGACTCGGCGCATGCTGCGGAGTTGACGGGGAGCGAAAGGCGGGGCATGGCGAGGCGATGATGGTGATGGTAATGGGAG